ACTAAAATGGGTGTCCAACTGTATCACCAACTTCACATTTCTGTTACTTAGCAGTACGACAGTACCAAAACAATATCTTTAACACGTCCTAAAAGGATCTAATAATCCTATTCAAATTATATCATTAGAAAATAAAATAAAATAAAAGTATGTAGACATTGTAACGTTTAACAAGAATATATCTTTAATATTCTCTTAAAAATATATCTTACTTATCAAATCGAATTTATGAGTGCCAAATTATTTCTGAAAACTAATATTAATAATTTGTACTCAAAATATTTTACTAAACACGAATGGTGGTATGGTTATTATAATTTTAAGTCACAAGTATCTTTATGTAAGTTGATCCGTTAAAATTATTTTTAAAATAAAAAACATTTAAGTGATATTTGTAAAATATTTCATCGCAACCAAACAGTGGTGCAGGTGAGTCTTGGCGCGCCTTGGAAGGTGAGGATCAGGATTTGTTCACGTGGAATTGTTTAGACGAACTTTTTCTTGACTGTAAACACTAAGCAATACTTAACAACTGACACCACTGTGTGACTGCTCAGTTTCCAGTCGTTTTGACGGCCAAACGAATTAGGTAACTCCAGGCGAAAATACGTCATTTCGAGCAAGTCATAATTGGTTTTTACTCTAAAAGATAATAACAAACCACCAAAATGGGATGAACATAAAAATATAAGAGGTGAGATATAAAAAAGGTTTAAAGGTGAGAAAACAGAATGGACTTTGGGGAAGCATATACACACACACACACACACACACACACACATATATATATATATATATATATATATATATATATATATATATATATATATAATATATATATAATATATATATAATATATATATATATATAATATATATAATATATATATATATATATATATATATATATAATATAATATATATATATATATATATATATATAATATATATATATATATATATATATATATATATATATATATACATACACATATAAAATATATATATATAAATGAGGAGAAACGTTTGCCCGATATAATATTTCACCCAAATTAAATAATGATGACAAGATAGTGAGTACTAAGGCAGCAGTAGTAATTACAGAAGACATCAAAAATACTGTATTATCGCTTGTAGTGCAATTCCATAGTTAATAAGTGCCCGAATGACAACGATATATCGTATCTGGTGGCCTGCATAAGATACGACGACGAATTCACTACAAAATATTGACAAAAAATGCAGCTATAGTTTTTAAACCAGACCTGACTGATGATGAACGATGAGCTCATTTCTACATGCGGGAGACGAAGTAACAGCCAAAGTAGTGGAGAAATAGCGACCAAGGCCTACTGAAGGTCATATATGAACGGAAAAGGTAGTAGTAATTGTTTCCGGGATACAAAGAGTGATATTCAGATTAAATACACGAAAGAAAGGTACAGCCACTACTGACATGTACTATTTAGTTCATTTGAACTATTTCTAAGATAACTTGGAGAAAAACTCTTGGTTTGTATAGCAAAAATTTCTTTCAATCTTTCACATGCAAAATTACGGGACATCCATTGAACAACAACCCATCGTATTAGAAAGATTTGGACTAGCAGAATTATTTCGTGTTCACAAACTTTATTTACATTATTTCAAGAATCTTGGTTAAAATTACTTCTCAAGCGTTATATATATATATATATATATATATATATATATATATATATATATATATATATATATATATATATATATATATATATATATATATATATATATATATATAGATACTGAAAAAGAACCTTGTGTAAAAATAAATAACAAACATAAGATACATCGAGTATTTTCTTCTCTTGTTGAGTTTACTGATGCGCTATATACATCGCTGTTAACAAACTATCCTTAATGTGTTTAAAAAAGTTTTCTAAAACCAATAGCCTTAAAACAGGAATCAGCTCCAAGAAGGGTTTTATCAGATCAATAATGCAAGAAAAATTATTATCAAATCTTAGAGGATCGCTGGCTCTATTACATATATCTAACAGATCATCCTACATACACTATATCACTCAAAATTACAAAACTAACCATTAAATTTTTAATTTGAACACGTGAATTAAAGCAAACTATCAAAATACGATTTTTTGTTTCATTGATAAGAAAAGCGTAAAATTTTCGTTCCGAATTAGTGGTTGAAGATTGTCAATCATTATATGATCTCTCTAAAGCTATTTTCTCTACGATATAAACACAAAAGCAACCAAAATTTTACAGTTTTCGAAATTCACCTATTTGAATTGTATTCGCTAAAATTATGCTCTTACGAATTTTTTAGTCTCATTCAAAGTTTTTTAAAAGTAATCTTAGAAGTAGAATTTATTATCTATTCGGAAAGACTTTATTGTTAGGAAATGAAAAGTTCCACATCGCCAAAAACCTATTTCCGATTTTTTTTTACATTGGGTAATATATTTATGTAAACAATGTACATCTGAATTGACCTTAAAATATTACTTCGATGTTTTCCTACAGATCTCTAAACAATGTGTGATTCTTTAGGTCAAAAATACATTTATATAATAATCGTAGTCAAGATAACAATGATAATTGGAAGCTTTTATAGTACAGCTGCATACATTTGCTATGTATAAATTAGCTTCTTGTACTCAGATATTACATTGTAGCAGTTCAAAAATCTTATATATTTTTTTAAATTCCGACTAAAAACTTTTATGCGACCCTGTATAAGGTTTTAATTCTGCATTTTCCACTTATATATTCAAATGTTAGTTCATCATAACCAAGGAAAAATATTTTAAGTGTCTCAGAATGTAATAAACACAGATTTAAATGTTTATTTTATTCAGCCCAAATTGCGTGTAGAATGGAATATTTATATTAAAAAAAGCCAACGTGGCTTGAGATTCAAGGTTGTGTGAATAAGAATCGCTGAGCAATTAAATTAAATCAGATCCAGGGTGAGGAGTTTTATTTTAGATAATCGAAGCGAGAGAGAAGGTAATCAGTGAATTCAGTGTTGATCTAGCCTTTTGCAAATATGGGTCTTGTGTTTCACCATTCAAATGACACTGACGACGCCCGTGCCACCGATCAAACGGCAACGATGAAGGTCCATGTCAAACATCAATGTCCACGGCTACTTTACACGCCATAGCTGAAATTAGCGCAAGTCGGATCGTACCCTGAACTAAATGGGGGATGACTCACTAATTGTAAAGATATAATAGTTAATAGTAAAAATTAACAGCAAATAAATGCAACATGCTACCATCTTCTAAATATTGGACTTAAAATATACGAAAAAAATTATAGACCTTTAGCTGTTTTTTAAACAAATTGGTCTTAAATCATTTTAATGCTTCTCACCACAGGAGGACACGTTTTTTAGTTGTCCAAATTTCCTTCTACTGCTGTATCTATGAAAAAAGATGAATATAACAAAAATACCAAGATCAACCATGTAAGAATACTTCATTTTCTAATAGTAAGTTATGCCTCTGAAACCTGGACTATTAGAACAACAAATAGAAGAATTTATGCATTTGGGATGTGACTTTTGAGAAGTATACTTCGAATATCTTGGACAAATTTTGAACAACGTCTCTCTGCCTTCATATTTTCAACGATATTAATCTATTGTTGTCATGTCGCACATGCCGACAATATGAGAGGCTAACGCAATAGGGAAGCAAATGGGGAAGACAAGCGGAGGAAGAAGACCCGACAGAGTAAAGAAATTAATAGATACGAACTTCGCGAGTGCAGTACGAGTAGCTCGGAAGAGAAAAAGATGGAGAACCAGCACCAAAAGCGCAATAAGCCGCTCCTTTAAAACCCTTATAAAGAACCAGTGGACTACCTTAAAGATCTAAATTTTATCACATTCAATTTTCCGTCTATTTAAAGTTTTACTTTTGTCTTACACAAGTTATTCTGCTGGTTTTTATATTATTCCAAACTTATACATAAAAATATTACATTATTCGGAAAATGAAAACTTTATTTAGCTGTAAAAATGAAATAAAGTTTTTATTTTACCTCTTTTTGTCGTGTTATTCACAAAGCTATCAAACAATTTGTTCTTGGCTTTTGTATGTTTTGAAAAAGACTAAAAAATCTGTAGAAATGGGCAAGAAATTAAAAAAATTGTAAAGTTTTCTCCTAAATAATATATCTCTAAATACATGTACACTTTCAAAGAAATATCTGTGAATTATTCAGATGTTTTCGTTTAAGTTTTGGGTCTAACATAATAAAGTTTCCTATTTAAGTATTTTGACCATTTTTTCCAGCCGTTGCAATTGATATCACTTTGTAACCTGTACCGATACCTCAAAAAAACTCACTGCTCTACCCTGATAAAAGTATAGGGTATAATGCAGTATCATTTACTTAAAAATATTCGTGATAAGTACGGTTTGCTGAGAATAACAAATACTAGCTATTTTACCTGCAATTTCTCATGCTAATAACACCATATAATTGAAAAAAATAAAAACTTGAGGTTTCTGATATACAGCAATTATTAAACAAACATATATATCGGATCTATTTTGTATGGAATGTCGATCTCTAAACTTAATCTCTTTTCGCAGTATAGGATACATTAAAATGCATAACGGCCGAATAACACTAACTTAAAGTATAACCTGTAACGTGGACTTCTATCACATCCTTTTCGCACTTCTCACTTTACTTTCGATGTGATAAAGTAGCATAAAGGTCATCAAACGGCAACGATGAAGTTCCATGTCAAACGTTAATGTCCACGGCTACTTTACACGTCATAGTTGAAGCTAGCGCAGGTCGGACCGTCCCTGAACTGACCAAAGATGACGTTGTCCTAAAAATTTACCTTTACATGATGGCTCATTAATTGTAAGTCATTGAATTTCAGTTAATTACACGACATATCTTAAAAGGAATCAAGCTAGGTTATTTCTTCAACATTGCAGAATAGGTACATCATATAGAAATCGATGGTTTGATTTGACAATTTTATTTGTGTTTATCTTGAACTCGGAACGTTAAATACAATTTTTTTTATTTTTTCCAAGTATATCACATTATTTACTCAAGAGATTGCAAAACTGAGATGCCACAGACAAATAGCTTTCGACCAACAACAGCTATTTCGGCAATTTCCTGTAGAAACACCTAATCCAGGATGCTCTGTACATATTAATGTACAATCTAACAAACTTTATACAGAAAATTAGTAATAATTGAGGATCAACTTTTAGTAGAATCACAGGGTTCGTTTTTGGGTATAAGGGAATTGCCTTCTCCGCTGTCCCAGTCTTCGTCTTCGTTCGTATAATCATCAGATGATTCTGCCGAACTTTCACTTGGCGTATCTTGTGTTTGAGAATGTCGTTCGTACGATGTCGGACAACAATCGTCTCTCGGAATTCTTTGAAGATGTAAAGTAAGCTAAAATAAAAAAATCTTTAATCTATAAATTAATACGTTTTACAATAGTTGTACAAGAAATAAACAAAATAGAAACAGATGTCCCTTACAAATCAGAATGTCGCGTCGAATTAAATATTCTTATAAGAGTTTATAAACCAAGGTTGTAATAAAAGTTTGAAAAAAATCCCCAACTGGATCATAACAAATTTGAATGGTATTCTAGAAATAACCCACTCTCGTGTCATCGAAGACACAATGTATCACGTAACCGGTGGGTGCATGGATTCGGAAAAGAGTCCTCACGCAGTGATTATATAGATATAGACAGAGACTATATTTTAGATTTTGTCAATTTATATTCCCACACAGTGTAAATATTGCTTCGTCGGAAAAACATATCTTGTTAACGAAGTTCTTTATTTTTAACACATTTTATTTATCATTACCTAACTAAACTGAAATCTACGATCGTAGATATCTCCATTTAATTCTTGCAACAACTGGATCTTGTAGGGTTTAAATGAATTATTATGCAATACATGTAATGCTGAGTAATGACCTACATCATGTATTTGCGTGGCTCTGCGTGAAGATGTATGTAGATCTTCAAGGAAACTGCGTTAAATCTAAAGTTTTATTGTAATTTAACAGTTTTCGGTCTACCTGTTCGAATGTCATTTTTATTCGTCCAGTTTCCTCAAAGCGCTTTAGAATTTTTGTTCTGTCGCCTTACGAATAGGAGAATTGTTTGGAAAAGTATCGTTAAACAAGTTGGATACTTCACTATAAGATATTTTTGTGTCATCCTAGACTCTTATCATATAACAGTAATTCGATCTTTTTCATTAAAAACCATCTTTACTTTAGAGCTTTTAAAAACACACAAAACAACTGCCAGCTTTAGTTATTAATACAATTTATTTCACAAAACTTTTCAATAAAAGTCAAGCTATTGTCAAGCTAAATTAAAAAAATAGAAAAAACGGTATGTTGTTGCTAATAATTATGAATAATGATGTTTTATATGTAATTGCTATTTCAAATATTTAAGAAAAGGTAAAAAAAAACTGACGCTCATAAGCGGCAGTGGCACTGAGGTTCGGCATTCATATCCGTGTACCGTTGACGCTTATAAGCGTTGCCTATACTCCACAGTAAAACATTATTTATTTCAAAACGTGTAACAAAAACAAACCCAAATATTACTGAAACGTTGGCTGCTATATTCTATTTGTGAATTATGATGCTGCAATTTAGACAATATCCTGGATTTCCAGGACAAGTTTCGCACACGTATGATGTATCCGTCCGTTTTTTTCTTTGGAACAGCTTTGTTTGACATCTTTTTCTGTTGAGTTGCTTTTTACCTGGAGTCGCTACCCTTTTTATTAGCCTAAGTTCGATATTTGATGCTTTTTTTATTTAAATTCTCATAAGCAGGTAAAAGTTCTGGTAGAAAAGGTTTTCTGGTAGAACTGTATTGAATGACTGATTTTTTAGAAACGGAAAATCTTCCATCTCACCTGGTACATCTTCCCAACAGATGTCGGAACATTCATCTACAGTTTCTTCAGTCGCAGGTTGTTGTAAATCTACATTTTCTTCCGCCGCAGGTTGTTGCGAATCAGATATTACTTCTCCGATTTCATTCTCACTCTCCGAGTCAGTTCCTGTCCATCCGCGATCAAATTTCTCCTCCAATTCAAAATCATTAAACTCATCACTATTTTCCAACATTTCTAACAATTCTGCTTCGGTGTAATTATGATAACGAATCCCTTTAGGTTTGTAGGGACCAGCCTCATCGTACTCATTTTGCATGATAATAAAACAATAAAAATATTTGAAAAACTCGAACCACGTGTATTTATGAGTAATAAATATCCTTCCTAGTGCCTAATAAGAAAAATGCAACACAACTGCGGTGCTGACTAAGAAACGTAAATAAATATATAAATACATACCGAATGCTTATAAGCGACGAAGGCACCCGAGCAAAATACACAGTGACTCTTATAAGCGTCAAAGGCATCCAACCTGTTAAGAACTTTGTGACTAGATAAAATATCAAGTGATACATATGGTTGAACTTAAATTGAAGTGAGAATACCAATAATAATACAATATACAGTGACTAATGATGGTGAATCTGACAACATTGCAAGCATCAAATTTGAAATCTCGATTGCACAGGCGTATCCTGGTTTTTGTACAATTCGCAGCACCGATTTAAGAGATAATTAGGCGTTTCCAGACTTTTGGTCCATTCTATGAAGTTTATTGAATCATACTATCTCTTTCCCGATCCCCCGTAAGGAGTGCAGTGGTCACCGTGATAGCGTGTATTGTCCGACCTCTTCTATCTTTCCTTGGATAATAAGTCTTTCCATGTTTTCTGTGTCTACTCTCATAACACGTCCACGTTATTTTTATTGTTGGATATGGAATTTGCTGAATGGCCGTTTGCTAACTTTTAGCTCATTTAAAATTGAAATATTTGTATTGCGATCGGTCCACGGAATACATAACATTCTTCTCCAACAGAACATTTCAGTGGCGTATCTCTTTCTTCTTTTCGCTTATCGTAGAGTCCAAGATTACCATCTGTATGCCAGTATTGGGAATATTAAGCAGTTGATCAACCTCATTTTTGAAAGAGGTCGTGAAATTTGAGAGCCCTTTCAGATTTTGGCTATCTTTCCTGGCAACCATACTATATTTAATATAAAATCAGTATTTCTTGGGTTCAGTTTCAATCAGTAATATTAAATTTGGAACTAGATTTGATTATTCCATTTAAATCAACATTTCGACAGGTAATCCTTGCCTTTGTCAAGATTCAAACCTAAAGCTAGACACTAACATTAGTGAACTGACAGAGGATGATTACCTGCCGAAACGTTGATTTAAATGGAATAATAAAATCTAGTTCCAAATTTAACATTACTTATTGAACTAAACCCAAGAAATACTGATTTTATATTGCATATAAATATATATATAATATATATATATATATATATATATATATATATATATATATATATGACAAGATAGCAGCTTATAAAAATACATGAACCAAAAATACTCGATCAAAATCGAAAACGCAAGAAAATGAAAAGAAGACTCCAAAAAGGTGTGCATAATAGCCTTGTGAAGAAGGAGCAGGTAAAGCCTAATCCCTGCAGAGAAGTAGAATATATATATATATATATATATATATATATATATATATATATATATATATATATATATATATTCGAAATAAGTTAGGTTGAGAGGCAAGTGCTAGAGAATATCTGCGTCTGAGATAAGATTGGCGTTTAGAAAGCAATGAATTTTAAGTAAACTTGCAATTTCAAGAAACATTTTTAGAATATTATCATCTGACACTGAACACACATGTTACCTTACAAGCAGTATTACGATCGTTGAGTGATATATTAATAGTAACAATATTATGTTTTTATTCATAAATCACGAAAAAACAATCAGTTTGTGGGATTTCTCATAAAATTGATGAAAAATTAATAGTTTTAATAAAAAAATATTACAGAAAAGTTGTGAGGTATCATCGATCAGTCAAAAACATCGGTTGATGTATAAAGACATTAGCTTACTATCATGTCATCATATTATCATGTTACAATACGTCTTAGAAAGAGATTGAGAGAGAACATCAAATAATCACCAAAACAAAGTAAATATTGCAAGTATTTTCAGTATATTTAGGTATAGCAAAAAAAAATGCGGGATATACCAAAAATGTCTGGTAATAGATACTATATGGCTGCAAAATACTATATGGCTGAGACATAGTAAAAACATTATTCTATATTGCATAGTTTTGTCGTTATCCAGATACTGTGTTTCAACCACATATTGCAGTAAAAATAATCCTCCTTTTGAGCGTAAGCGAGCCGAAATGTGGCCGGTGACAAAAATGCGCGATAACAGAAGAATAGTGGGAAACCTATTTTACTGAGCAAGTTTAATCCTCACTCCGGCTCCTAATACGACGGCTCGCTTAGCAAGTGTATTCATTTTGCTAGTTTGCTACTGTATGGTAATATGTACATTTTGCATATATCCTATTTTTCAAAGTAAAAACGTGCACGTCACGATTTATACAAAGTGACGTCACTTGTATTAAAAATTTCCAGAACATCACGAGTTAAAATGTCCCTACACAGCTAATAATACGACACCCATACAGAACTGCTCGATCTTTCATAGGTAAAATGTAATCATTCATTCAAAAATGTAATCAGGATTATTCTGAGAATTATTTTAGAATTATATTGATTAAATAACCAAAAACATTTGTTATTATTATTAATATAAAATTTATGAAATAAACTGTTGTTTAATACCGCACAAAATAATAATTTTAATAAAAAATAGATTAGACAATCGTATGCCACTGATACGGGAATACTTACAACTTCAATGACAGTTCAACGTTTGGCCAAACTTTTAACAGTGTTGCCGCTTTTTTAGAGTAAGAATTTTGGTCATGTTTTAATTTCTTACACAATTTGATTCACAATATATTATATATTAATAAATTGTATTTATCAATACCTACATATTAAATTTTGCTTAATAACTTTAAAAACTAATTATTGTTGTGTATTGTGATGGTGCTATGCCAAAAACAACTAAATAGTCTGTTAAAAGCTAATAGCTGATAAGCTTTAATAGATTTTTTTGGACAAAAATAATGGCGGGACGTTTTTACTATTAAATGCTCTAAAAGAGGTAAGTTAAAGAATTCAGAATATATAATTTTGTATTTGAATGCTTTCTTATGCATTTAGGTCTGTTGCAGTAGTCTTAAAACTAAGTGTTGTCAAGATGTTAAAAATAATTAACTTTTAAAATCACATACTAAAAACCGGTATTACAAAAAGGCAAACTAATACAGAAGAGTTGAATGTCGGTGATATTTGTGATGTTATTTACGAAATGTAGAAAACAAGTAAGAACTTTGACAAATTATCAAATGTAGACAGAAT